AAAGGCAAACAGGAGGAAGAAAACAGATGACAAGACAGAAACTAAAATAAAACATTAACACAGACACAAATCACAGACACAATTCCTAAACAGATACAGGCTGATTAGGTATTGGAGACACCTGAACTAGACACCTTGACTACAGTAACAGCCTGTTCACCTGCTTAAATCCGAGACAATTAAACCGGCTCCAACTTGTTCAAAAGTCTGCTGCTAGACTCCTAACTAGAATATCCAAATTCTCTCACATCACCTCTATAATATCAGACCTCCACTGGCTACCTGTACAATTCAGACTCAAGCTCAAAATCCTGGTTCTCACTTTGTTGGACTTCGATAAAGCCAGGTTATCAGACTCGTAGAGCAGAGGGTCTTGAAGTGAGACAGCAGTATTTCCCATTAGAAGTCTTCAGCCAGGACATGCAAGGTGTGGTGTCCCATTCCTCATGTGCTGCACAGAGTGAATCAACTGAAAAGGAACTGGCTAAATTTGGCAACTGTAAGTTTTGTTTCCTCTCTTTTTTAAACTTTGAAGTGATAAAAAGTAAATGAATTATTGTTAAGATATGTTGAGTATTGATTCTTTAAAATAAATTATGATTTTTTAAAAGATTTATTTATCATAATTTCCCTTGGTATTTGCATACACAGGATAAAATGAAATTGCCATCTATGCAGTGCCTTAAAAATACATCTTCAGTATCTGTATTTAGGAATATACTAGGATACTGACAAAGCATTTTTGACAAGTACGATGATATATAATTGAGCGGCCCCTTCTTCGGGTTCATTTGAAGGCCCACTACTCCCCTGACCATGCTGTCCTCTGGTGGGTTGTACCTTGCCGGCCGGCGCGCTGGGGGGCTCTCGTCCGGGGCTGGGTGCTTGGGCATGTGCCGGCTCGGCCTGGTGGCTGCCCGGCGGGGCTGGGTTCCCCCTGGCCCTACTGGGCCTTGGCCTGGAGGGGGTGCGGCCTGGGGGCCCGGGCCTCTGTGTCGGTGCCTGGATCCGCTCTGGCGCGGTGGGTACCGGCGGGGCCTGTGAGTTCGCCACTGCTGGCCCCGGGGGTTGCTGTATGTAGTCGCTGGTGGGGCTCTTCCGGTTCTCTCCGGTGGTCCTCTTGGGGGGTGGGTGGGCGCCCCTTCCGGCGCGGGTTGCGTGCTTGGGGTCCCTCTCGGGGTCTTTGGCACTGATCTCCCTTTGTATGGAAGTATGTATATGAAAGTGTTTGGATATGTAGGTAGGGG